TTGAAGCTTGTGAGGATCTAGGATCGAGCTCAGAAAAGAGAGTTTGAATTGAATGATCACCTGGGTACAACACGAGGCTATATATAGGCTCGACACAAGGCAGGTAACCCAGGTGTTACGCGAATGTTCCGAGGGTCGCGAAGCGTCCCGAACAGAACCTTCCCGAACTTGGTAGAAAGCAATTCGGTGGCAACCGAATAGCTTGAGTTCGGTACACGTAACCTGGTTCGGTGCCTATAACTATAATAACTATAGTAAAGCAACGAACCTAGGAATTCAAGCAATTCATGCATGCAGAAAATAAACCTAAGCTAGGAATAGTGTAAGGAAATAGTAGCAAGCATCTGATTGCACCTGAGGGAGACCCGGATGCACTGGACATCCCGACCCCGCGCTGTTACGCAGAGACGACTACGGGTCCCTACTCCTTTCAGAGGCAAACAGCCATGGACGCAGAGATGGCATCTTGGAAGTCCACAGGCACTTACGTCGACGCAGTTCCCCCTCCTGGGGCAAACATAGTCGATGGCATGTGGATTTTCAGGGTGAAGCGGCCGTCGGGTTCTCCGCCTGTCTTCAAGGCTCGTTACGTCGCACGAGGCTTAAGTCAGCGATAGGGAGTTAACTTCTTCCAGACATTCTCCCCTATTCGAAAGATGACCACTCTTTGGGTGTTGCTGCACGTTGCCGCTCAGCGTGACTACGAGCTTCACTCTCTTGACTTCAGCACAACTTTCTTACAGGGCAACCTGCACGAGGAGATCTGGCTGCGCCACCCACCTGGCTTTACTGGGTCGTTTCCTGCTGGTACTCAGTGGAGCCTCCGGCGGCCAGTCTACGGTCTCCGCCAGGCGCCTCGTGAGTGGCACGACACACTGAGGATGACACTTGCGACTCTTGGGTTTGCTCCTTCGACTGCTGACCCGTTGCTGTTTCTGCGCACCGACACTTCGCTGTCGCCGTTCTACATCCTCGTGTACGTCAACGACTTGGTTTTTGCCACTGCTGACACTGAGGCACTCGCCCTTGTAAAGTCGGAGCTGCAGAAGAGACACATGTGCACAGACCTGGGTGAGCTACGCAGCTACCTTGGCTTGCAGATCACCCAGGACTGTGAGAGTACGACGGCTTATGCTGGCTTTGCTAGCTTGCCTGGACTTTATTATGCTATTTCTAGCTTGGGTTTATTTTATCATGCATAGTTATGCTTGATTTCCTAGATTAGGTGCATTCCTACATTATATTATAGTTATAGCACCGAACCAGGTTACGTGTACCGAACTCAAGCTATTCGGTTGCCACCGAACTGGTTCTACCGAGTTCGGGAAGGTTCTGTTCGGGACGCTTCGCGACCCTCGGAACATTCGCGTAACACCTAGGTTACCTGCCTTGTGTCGAGCCTATATATAGCCTCGTGTTGTACCCAGGTGAACATTCAATTCACATTCTCTTTTCTGAGCTCGATCCTAAGATCCCCACACTTGTTAATCAGAGCCTGTTTACAAGCGAGCTTTTCGACCGCTAAATCCTAGCTTTTAAAACCGCGGGGGCGACGACGAACGCGCCGATTTCGGGTACGTAAACCAGTTCCGCGCTGTTTTTTAACGTCCCCCTCGAACCGGTTTTCGAACACTTCTCGGGAACATTTGGTGAAAAAGTTGGAATTTCAGCCGTCGGATCGATTTCTACATCAACGTGTCAGAATAACTGAGGCAGGAATGAATGAACTAGCAGAAAGTTTGGTACAAGTAGGAAACCCTAAGTTTGTGTACCCCCTAAGGTGTAACCCACTACAGCCTACACAACTTAAACATGCAATGTTTGACACACCCCCATAGGCACAGTGGGAGACAACCACAGGGTCATAAGACCAGTCAAAGCAAAGCAAAACAAGCTCAGGGTGGATCTCAAGGATACCACACAAATTCCGAGCACAAGCAAGTGGTCACAAGACCAGTTCACATGCAGTTTGATAATATAACAAGAGATACAGTGATCACAACGTAGCAATAGTAAACATGCAGGTATATATATAGAGATCACAGTACAAGCAGAGTCAAGCAGTAAGCAAGTGAGGTCCAGCAGGCACAAGGCCCAGAAGAGTACAGAAACGCTGATGGTCACAAGGCTGAAGTGCCTTGGTGAACACATCAGCAGTGTTGGCCCGAGTGGCCACGTAACGCAGACGAAGCTGACCACGCTGCTGCAGCTCTCGAGCAAGGAAGTAGCGCAGAGCGATGTGCTTCGTTCTGTGCTCCAGTCTGTGCTCCTCACACAAGGCAATGGCAGCCTTGTTGTCGACGTACAGCACTGGAGAAGAACGAGGCCACTCTCCCAAGTCGGTCAGCAGGTAGGTCAGCCAGCGTAGCTCCTGGGCCGCCATGGCTGTGGCGTAGATCTCAGCCTCACAACAGGAGCTGAGAACAGAAGAAGAGCGTGTAGAACACCAAGAAACTGAACCAGAGCCAAGACTGAAGGTGTAACCCTGAGACGACCGCTGAGTAGCCTGGTCGTCCGCCCAAGAGGCGTCTGAGTGCCCAGTGAGTACAACTCGGTCTCGCCCTCCAAGCACTAGTCCCATGCCCGACGTACTGCACAAGTAGCGCAACACCCTCTTAGCGGCATCCATGTGCTCCTTCCGGTGACGGCCAGGAGCGACATAGCGTGCAAGGATGCTAAGAGGGTATGCAAGGTCAGGTCAAGTGCAGGTCATCAGGTACATGAGGCAGCCCACAAGCTCTGGATACGGGCCACTCGGCTCTACGGACTCATCCGAAGGCAGAGCTGAGAGCGAGTGACCGGTAGGCAGAGGAGTGGGCTGGGGCGAGGAGTACGTGAAGCGGAAGCGCTGAAGGATCTGCTGCACCATGTGTGACTGAGTCAAGGTGATGGTGCGGCGTGCTCTGTCCCGGGTGATCCGCAAGCCAAGATAGCTTGTCAGTTCACCCAGGTCTGTGCACGTGTGTCTCTTCTGCAGCTCCGACTTCACGTGGGCGAGTGCCGCAGTGTCAGCAGTGGCAAAGACCAAGTCGTCAACGTACACGAGGATGTAGAACGGCGGCAGCGAGGTGTCGGTGCGTAGAAACAGCGACGGGTCAGCAGTAGAGGGAGCGAACCCAAGAGCCGCAAGTGTCGTCCTCAGTGTGTCGTGCCACTCACGTGGCGCCTGGCGGAGACCGTAGACCGGCCGCTGAAGCCTCCACTGGGTACCAGGAGGAAACGACCCAGTGAAGCCAGGAGGGCGGCGCAGCCAGATCTCCTCGTGCAGGCTGCCCTGCAAGAAAGCAATGCTGAAGTCAAGTGAGTGAAGCTCGTAGTCGCGCTGAGCGGCTATATGCAGCAGCACCCGAAGAGTGGTCATCTTCGGGGTGGGGGAGAAGGTCTGGAAGAAGTCTACTCCCTCTCGCTGACTGAAGCCTCGAGCAACGTAGCGCGCCTTGAAGACAGGAGGAGAACCCGGCGGCCGCTTCACCCTGAAAATCCACATGCCACTGACGATGTTCGCCCCAGGTGGGGGAACCTCGTCGACATGGATGCCTGTGGACTTCCAGGAAGCCATCTCTGCGTCCATGGCTGTCTGCCACTGAGAGGAGTAGGGACCCTCCATCGCCTCAGCGTAAGAGCATGGAGTCGGGATGTTTGGTGCATCCGGGTCTCCCTCAGGGGCAACTAGCATGGACACGAGATGGGGCAAAGCAGCAGCAAAGCACTGGAACTCCTCCTGCCTGTCTTCAAGGACGTCCGTGCCAAGAGCACACTCACCCCCGACGGACGGAGGACAGACAGACTCAGACTCAGCAACAAGGCTAGCGGCGTAGTCTAGACGGCACGCGGCAGCAAAGTCAACCAACTCAGCGACCAGAGCAAACGCAGCAGAGGACTCAAAGGTAGGGTCAGTGACAACAGTGGCGAGAAGACGCGTGACAGTGGGACTGGCAGCACGACGGGAGTCAGACTCCGGGTCAGCAAGAGTAGGAAGAGAGGACGCAGGAGGAGACGGTAGAGGGACACGCTGAGGAGCAGTGGAGGGACGCAGAGTCATGTAGTGAGTGCCTGGGACAGCAGGAGGACGCTGACGCGGGACACGACGAACAGTGCGAGCAGCACTAACAGGTGACGCAGAGCGAGACGCAGGCGACACAGGACGAGACTCAGGCTCACGACGCTCCGTAAGACCTCCTGTGGGACCAGTGTAAGGAGAAGGACCAGGGAGAGGCGAGGCAGGCGGTAACTGTGACTGCGACTGGACAGGTGGAGGACACTCTAAGGAGGGAGGAGGACAAGGAGGAGGAGTCTGACCAAGAACCTGCTGAAGGAGCGGCACGAAGTACGGTCGCGGCCGCGCAGCGTCTCCAGAACCAGTAGAGACACCAGCGTCAGGGTCCTCAGCACCAGCAGCAGCTCCAACCCTCGGGTCCGGAGCACCAGCAGTAGCTCCAACGCCCGGGTCCTCAGCACCAGTCACAGCTCCAACTCCAAGGTCCGCAGCACCAGCAGCAGCTCCAACGCCCGTGTCCTCAGCACCAGCCACAGCATCAACTCCAGGGTCCGCAGCACCAGCAGCAGCTCCAACGCCCGGGTCCTCAGCACCAGCCACAGCGCCAACTCCAGGGTCCGCAGCACCAGCAGCAGCTCCAACGCCCGGGTCCTCAGCACCAGCCACAGCGCCAACTTCAGGGTCCGCAGCACCAGGAGCACCACTACGAAGACTGCAGCGCCGCGTGTACCACTCTCGGATCCGCTGAAGGGAGGGCAGCTCCCGGCCAGGAGGGGAAGCACTAGTACCAGCTCCAGCAGCACCCCTGACTCCAGAAGCACCTCTCCTGAGGCTGCAGTACTGTAAGTACCTCTCCTGCAGCTGCTGTGAGGAGAGGGCTCCTCCAGGTGGAGCACTCCCAGGCTCAGCACCTCCAGACTCAGCACCCCCAGACTCAGTACCCCCAGACTCCGCACCCCCAGGCTCAGCACCCCCAGGCTCAGCACCCCCAGACGCTGCAACCCTAGGCTCAGCACCCCCAGGCTCAGCACCCCCAGGCTCCGCACACTCAGGCTCAGCACCCTCACGCTCAGCACCCGCAGGCTCAGTACCCCAAGCAGGACGAGAGTCGACAGCTACCTCGACAGGCTCAACCGGGTCTACCTGGGACACACCTGAGGGAGCGGCACCCTGAGGGGGGAGGGGGTCTAGTACAGCAGCACCTGGAGCGAGGAAGAGAGGCGGGGGGGGGAGCGGGGCAGTGCGGTAGGGGAAGAGGCGGTAGTAGGGGACGGACTCGTCAAAAGTGACGTCCTGAGAAGACAGGACACGGCGCGAGGTGGCGTGGTAAAACTGCCAACCAGGCGCGTCCGGGACAAAGCCAAGGAAGACACAAGGAACAGCGCGAGAGGAGAGCTTGTCCGCGGACGTATCGCGAACAAAAGCTCGGGATCCCCAGACCCGAAAACGCGACGCATCGCCAACCTCTCCCGTCCAACGCAGTGTCGGGGAAGTCTCCGGCAAGGAGACACGGGGCCAGAGGTTGAGCTGATGCGCAGCGTATCGGACTGCAAACGGCCACAGAAAGTGGGGGGCAGCCGCATGGACCAAGGAGGTACGAGCGACCTCCATGACCAAGCCAATGCGGCGCTCAGCAACCCCATTATGCTGTGGAGAGGCCGGAAGCGTGAACGACTGCTCAATGCCGTGCTCCGCACAGTAGGCTGCCAAGAGGTCGGAGGAGAACTCACCACCTCTGTCAGAGTGCAAACGCAGGACAGGAAAGTCCGAGTGGAAACGCTCGCTGAGCTGGAGACGAGCTCTGCTGATCCAAGGGATCAAGACATCAGGGACCTCACCCTTGGTGCGCAAGGGGAAGATCGTGGTCTAGTGCGAGTAGTCGTCAACAACGTTTAGGAAGTACCTCTCCTGACCCTGTCCACGGACGCGGGCTGGGCCCCACACGTCCATGTGGAGCGTCTGCAAGGGAGCAGTTGTTGGGGGAAACGAGGAGGAGTGAGGAGCGGCGCGCTGCCGCCCCTCGACACAGGGAAGACAGGGAGGAGCAGGCGAGGGTGGGAGGGGAGGGAGAACCCTGGGGAGACCAAAGACAAGGTACCGTTTGTGCATGGCACGAAGGCGCTGCACAGACGGGTGACCAAGTCGGTGGTGCCAGAGGACGGTCTCGTGCGCCAGAGAGCGACACAAGCAGGGGGCCGACAGCTGACCTGACGCAGACGCAGACGTAGACGCAGCTACCTGAGGGGACTCAGTGGTCAGTGTGTACAGGTCCGACCCCGGCTGCCGAGTGAAGGTAGCCAGGTGACGGCCCGTCCGAGCACACGTGCAGTGTGTCACGTGCTCGTAGGCAGGGGTGAACTGGTGAACACCCCCGTCCTGGAGCGCACAACCCGCCACCAAGTTCGTAGAGAACGAGGGGAGGTGGAGACCTGACAGTGTGCCGGACGGGACCGCAGGACAAGGAAGGACAGTGGAGGAGGTCGCAATGACCGGACCCCCAGAGGGGTCAGCGAGGGAGACAGCAACTGGCCGAGCGAGTGGCTCAAGGATAGTGCGGTCACGAAAGAAACAGCGAGAAGCACCGGAGTCCAGTGTGAAGGTGTGCAGTGCCGCAGTCGACTCAGTACCAGGGGGCACAGACTCACGAGCACCTAGAGCAGCAGCCTCACCAGCACCTGGGGTAGCAGACACGCGAGTACCTGGAGTGGCAGTGTCACTAGCACCTAGAGCGGCAGCCTCACTGGTCCGAATGCCCGGGTCGGGCGGAACACGCAGGTACTGAGCACCCTCTCCACTAGTAAACATCACATACATGGCAGTGAGAATAGCATCAAAGTCTAGTGCATAGATATCAACTCCCTTCCTCATCAGATCAGCCCAGCGGGGCAGCTCAGTGGCATCAGGGAACTGAGTACGCCAAGCGTCGTCAAGGCGAGAGAAACAGCGCTGCGTGGGGTGCGGCCTCCCACACGTTTGACCAGTGCGGATGACGTACGTGCAGCTAAGGCCACCCCCCCCCCCCCCCCCCCCCGTGCTGAGAGTACCACTCACGGGCGGGCGACGGAGTGTGCTGCTGGCTCTGGCCACCGCCAGCGCCTCCACGACCACCACCGCCGCCGCCACCTCCTCGACCACCCCCTCCCCTGCCGCCGCCGCGACCACTGCCGCCCCCACCGCCGCCCCCGCCCCTGCCACCGCCCCCGCCGCTGCCGTCACCACCCCCACCGCTGCCACTAGTCCCTCCAGCCCCACCACCACCCCCACCGCCGCCACCGCCTCCACCACCGCATCCTCCGTCGTCACCTCTGCCTCCCTTGCCCCCTTTGCCCCTGCGGCGCCCGCTCGGAGCGGACGCAGTCCTGACCTTCTCAGCACCAAGGAGGTCGACAGCAGAAGCAGAGGCTACAGAGGGAAGAAGGGGGGAAGGGGAACACCCCTCAAAGAAAGGGGTGCGGGGGTCGCCACGAGAGGCACCTACAGCGACGATGCTCGCCTCAGCTGCAAGTAGTTCCTTCTCGAGGAGGGCAATGGTGAGCTCAGTGGGGCAGCGAGCTAGGAAGTGATCCCTGACTGCGCGCAGAGAGTCAGGGAGGCGGGTGACGATGTGGTAGAGAGTGAGCCAGAGCGGGGGGGGGTTCCTAGCAAGGAACTCATCGGGCATAGCAGCACGGAAGCGGGCCTCACTAGTTTTGAGGTGCGTGATGAGGTCAGCAACTGTGTGAAAGGAGGCCAGGTCGGGGAACAGGTAGGGGAGTGAGAGGCGGCCTAGTGCGGCAGAAGCAGGTGAGGAGTAGCGAGCAACGACAGCAGTGTACAGTTCCTTAGCAGTCTTGTGTTGGCCAAAGTGCTCGCGCTCATCTATCGGCAGGGAGTTGCGAATAGCAAAGCGAGCGTGGGCGTCACGAGTCTGCCACTGTGAGCGGGCAGTGCTGTCAGCAGTAGTACCAGGGGCAGTAGCATGGCCGAGGGCATGATCGTACAGTGAGATGTCCTCCTTGGCAGTGAGCTGTAGGAAGAGGTGCAGGTCATCTAGCCAGGTGTCAAACTTCACTGGACGGCCCTCAGCATCGAAAGCTAGCACAGGAGGACTAGCCATAGTAGCAGCAGTAGTAGCAGTAGGTGCACCCTAAAAGCAGTAGGCAGCGCGACTCAGGTAGGGCGGCTCGGTCCAGAAAGGCTGCACAGTACGGGCGGCGCGGCTCGGTTCAGGTAGGGCGGCGCGGCTCGGTTAGGGCGGCGCGGCTCGGTTCGGGCTGCGTGGCTCGGCTCGGACTGGCGGCTTGGTTCGGGCGGCTCGGTTCGGGCGGCCTGGTTCTGGCGGGGCCGTGGCTGTCGCGTGCGGGGCGTTAAGGGGCGGTGGATAGGGTCGACGGGGTCGCTAAGGGGCGGCGCGCGGGGTCGACGGGCCCGCTAAGTCCTCTAAGCGGGGTGCACGCGGGGTCGACGGGGCCAGCGGGGCCTCTAAGCGGGGGGCGCACGGGGTCGACGGGGCCAGCGGGGCCTCTAAGCGGGGCGCGCGCGCGGTCGACGGGGCCAGCGGGGCGGTGCGCGAGTCGCAGAAGGGCGGCGCGCGGGGTCGACGGGGCCTTAAGGGGCCGAAAAAAAAAGAGAGGCGCGCGAGGGCGCTGGGGGGGAGGCGCTAAGGCGCGCTCCGACAGTAGGGCGCACGAAGGCGCTAGTAGGCAGTCAGTAGTGGTGGGCCCGAAAAAAAAATTAGGTCCTAGCGAAGGACCTGCTCTGAAACCATGTCAGAATAACTGAAGCAGGAATGAATGAACTAGCAGAAAGTTTGGTACAAGTAGGAAACCCTAAGTTTGTGTACCCCCTAAGGTGTAACCCACTACAGCCTACACAACTTAAACATGCAATGTTTGACACAACGGCCCTGAGAATTTCGCCCAAAAAAGTTGGAATTTGGGGCGTCGGATCGAATTTCAGCTCAACGGCCGAGATCTGACGCGAATTTCGACTAAGGGAGAATTTCGCGACTGAAAGAATTAGCGCTCAACATTTTTTACAGTCAATTCGATTCGCAGTAAGTCGACAAGCGCCTCGATTTCAATTATTTCTGTCGCAAATCTTCCTGTAAATCGCCAAATGGAGGAAAACGGTGATAATTCCGTACGAAAAATTACGGAGTTACGCACCGACCTGGACCAGATGCGAGCGGCACTCCAGCGATTAGAGGAGCTCCTCGCGAACCAGTCGGCAGCCGCCACGGCAGCAGCGAACGTAGCAGCGAATGCAACAGCGACGGTAGCAGCAGCAGCGGCGACACCGACACTTCACCTAGCAGCAGCGGCAGCGGATACAGTGAATCTTGAGGCGGCACATGAGGCATTCAATCCGAATGCGAGAGACGCCGACGTCCGTCGATTCATTGCAACACTCAAAATTTACTTCGAGGCCGTTTGCAGTACGACCCCGACACACGATGCAATGCGGATTCGGCTCGCAGCAACACTGTTGCGAGGCCCGGCGCTCGAGTGGATTTACAACAGTAAGGAGATCCGAGGCGAGGGGTCATGGACGCAGTTTCGGGCAGCTTTAATTCAACGTTTCGAACCGATCAATTATAGCTACATGGCGCGGCAGCAGATTCATCGGCATAAACAGTACGGCAGTACACGCAGCAGATGGAGAGCCTCTTCAATCGAATTACCGACCTGACCGAAGGGGAAAAAATCCAAGCGTAAACTGAAAGGTTAAAAATGGAAGTTCGCCGACAAGTGATTGCTGCGAACTACAACAACTACCGCGACATGGTGTGTGCAGCAGAGAGATTCGATGCGCTGACGCGAGGTCAACCCGAGACACGACGCCACGTGGCGAACAGATCATTCGACACGAAGCGATCGGCACCACCCACGACCGCCGACCCGATGGATATCGACAAGATCGACGCGAAGCAGCGGCCGACAAAAAATGAGAAGTGCGAATTTTGCGGCGCAGCGGGACATCGACTCTTGGCGTGTTGGAAAATGAAGAATGCATGAGCAGAGCTGCAGGGCAACAACAGTGCGGCACCCACGAAGTCAACAAACGTGGCGACTTCGGAGAGGGCGAAAAAAGGAGGACATGATGGCGCGAATTCAAAACGTCACGACCGGCCGGCACCAGGGGAAATCGCCGAGACAAATGGAGGCTCCGCGAAACAAGACTCTGCACCGACCGGGAAACTCCAGCCAAACACCAACGAAAGTAAGAATTTGTTAAAGTTATCCTATAAAGATACTTTAACTAAGAATATTACTTCTCGTGATTTTCAAACCTTCATTCAGGGGAGATTTAGAGGCTAAGAAAAAGCCTTCAGATATTATTCAGGTACCTGAGAAGTTGGGCAAACCACTCCGGAGCGTTGAAACGGGTCGTGCGTTCCAAGGAGTTAATTTTCTCTCCCCGCAGCACAGTGTTAAGGCTCCCCATTGCCCACAGGAGAAGCCTACACAGCTGCAACGGCTTAGGGGAAGGATCCGGGCCAAGACGAAGCTGAATCGGCCGCGGATAAATCCTTCTAACCGTGCTCAGTTGGAATTTGATACAAAGTCAGCAGCTTCGAGCGCAGGACCTAGGGATGATCTATTCGACATACCCTATGATCCTATAAGCGAGACCATCTACGGCTACTCGGAGCAGCAGCAGCCACTACTCCTCGAGGTGATCTGCAACGGGCGACGCCTCCAGGCACTGGTGGACAGCGGTGCGTCCCACTCGGTGTATGACCGTGGGACGTTGGAGAAAGTTGGAGAGAAAGCAGAGAAGACCCAATTTTCAGCAACGATGGTGGATGGTACGAAGCTTCCCATCCACGGCAAAACATCACTGCAGCTGCACATAGGTGCGTTGAGGTGGAAGCCGACGTTGCCGATCACAAACATCAAAGGTTTATATTTCATCTTGGGGCGAGATTTCCTGAAGCAGTTCAACCCCGAGATCGACTGGGTCAATCAGAAGGCGTGCATCTACAACAACGGGAAACGAGTGGAGCTGCGAAGCTGGACGGATACAGGGGATATTCCTGAAACGACACTGGCACGGTTCGAACGGATGGTGAACGAGAGTAACACGGGTTACCTAGCACTGGTCATGGCAGCAGCAGAAGAGGAGAAGCCGGGTTCCGAGCCACTCGCAGCAGTGAAGGAGGTCTTGGAGCAGTACAAAGACATAATGCCCGACGACCTACCCGCAGGCGTACCTCCAGCACGCACCCACGAACACGAGATCGTGGAGGAACCAGGTGCAAAACCCGTCTCACGTGCACCATACCGACTGAGTCCGACCGAGCTGACAGACATGAAGAAACAGATCGAGTATCTACTGGACAGACAACTGATCCGCCCATCCACCTCTCCCTACGGAGCACCAGTTCTCTTCACCCCTAAACCAGACGGCAGTTTACGGATGTGCATCGACTACCGCGCACTAAACAAACAGACAGTAAAAATCAAATGCCCCATACCGCGCATAGACGACTTACTGGACCAACTGCGTGGTGCAACAGTCTTTTCAAAGCTGGACCTACGATCGGGTTACTGGCAGATCAAGATGGCGGACAACTCGATCCACAAGACGGCGTTCCGTACGAGATACGGCTCGTACGACTACTTAGTGATGCCGTTCGGACTCTACAACGCACCAGCGACGTTCCAGGCAGAGATGAACCACATCCTACGGCCCCTGCTGGACGAGTGCGTAGTAGTGTACCTGGACGATATCCTCATCTACTCCAAGAACATGAAGGAGCATGTGGAGCATCTGCAGAAGGTGTTCGAGATCCTGCGGAAAAATAAGTTCTACGTGAAGCTGTCAAAGAGCGACTTCGCACTGAAGAAGGTGCAGTTTCTCGAGCACATGGTGAGTGCCGATAGCGTACACGTAGACCCGCGGAAAATCGAAGCCGTTAAGAAGTGGAAAGTTCCGGAGAACGTGAAGGAGTTGCAGCAGTTCCTCGGCTTCGCCAACTACTACAACAGGTTTGTGCCGCAGTACGCTAAGATAGCAGCGCCACTGACCGACCTACTGAAAAAGGATACACCCTTCAAATGGGGTGCTCCTCATCAGCAAGCCATGGAACAGCTACAGACAGCACTGACCACAGTGCCAGTACTCATCCTTCCAGACCCAGACAAGGACTACGTAGTTGAAGCAGACGCTAGTGACCAGGCAGTCGGAGCAGTACTGATGCAGGATCACGGGAACGGTTTACAGCCTATCGCCTACCTCAGTAAGAAGCTACACGGAGCAGAACTAAACTACCCCATTCACGACAAGGAAGCCTTAGCCATAGTCGTAGCCTTCAAAGCGTGGAGGTGTTACCTAGAGGGAGCCAAGACCACAGTATACACTGACCACTGCAGTCTTAAGTACCTGAAGTCGTAGCCGATGCTCTCACGACGACAGGTGCGGTGGGTGGATTTCTTGGAGACTCACTTCCACTACGACATCGTCTACAAACCCGGGCTACACAACAAAGCTGACGCGTTGAGCTGCCCCGGTCATGTAGCAGGCATCCAACTCGACGGGATGAACCCTCTACTCAAGGGTCTATTCCAACATGGGTACTCCGTGGACGGCGAAATAGCAACGGCAGAGAAACAGAAGTTGTTACAGTGGGAGAAAGACTTAGCAGTAAGGAAGGGTTCAGGAAAGATTTGGGTACCGAATTACGCCCCGCTACGGCAGATCCTATTGGAGGAGTTTCACGACGTACCATACGCAGGACATTTCGGGAGCAACAAGACGTTAGCGGGAATAGCAAAGTATTACTACTGGCCTCGGATGGCAGCAGACGTGCAGCAGTTCGTCACCTCCTGCGACACGTGCCAGCGGATGAAGAGTAGCAAGCAGAAAAAAGTAGGGTTACTTCAGCCTCTACCCGTACCGGAGCAGCCATGGCAGGTCGTTAGTCTCGACTTCATCACAGGACTTCCCTCGACCTCACGGGGACACGATTTCATCCTTGTAGTGATCGATAAGTTCTCCAAAATGGGTCACTTCATACCGACCAACGCCACAGCTACAGCTGAAGCAATTGCTCGACTCTTCTTCGACAACTTCATCACCATCCACGGCATCCCCACTACACTCATCTCAGAC